CCTTGTGGGGTTTTGTTGGGGTTTTTTTAGTTTTTTGTTGGTTTTTTGGGGTTTTTTTTTGTGAACCTGATGTTATTCAAACCTGGGAATTTTATTCTGCAGTTTGTACTTTTTTTTTACATGTTTCTGTGCTCAGATGGGCCTTCTGTTCTTTTTTACTTAGCCACAATCAGCAAATGTTGCCTCCAACCTATCTTCCTGTAGTAAACAGATTTGGCCATAAGGATAAGATGGGTCCTAACAGATGGAGCCTATTGGTGCTCCACAAAGATGTGTTGGGATTGTCACTAGACACTGGAGGACAAGAGCAGCTGCTTTCCTTGGAGACCCCCAGACTGCAGCCTTTAAGATATTCCTCTTGCTGCCAAATAGAACCCTAAAATAGATATCCTTCCTTGCTCAAAAACCAAAATTGCACTCCGATTTCTTCCTCCCTATAACTTTAAGTTTCTGTGTATAAAAGACTAGGCTTCACATCCTGATTAGAAGGTGAGATTTTAGTAAAATTCATCTTTTTTCATGACAAGAAAGCTTGCAGCTTCTTCCCCCAAAACAGCCTGTTGTTATGGCTAGGGACAGCAGGATGGGTTAATCGTGGCCCCATTTCCTGAGGTCTCCTGCAGTCATGATTTGTGAATGCCTGAGAATACCCCTGCTGAATTCTAATTGTTTGTGGCAGTCGGCACATGATTTCAAGTGTTTGGTCACAGCAGTGTTCGTTTTCTGCTCTTTTAATCTTTGATGGATGTTGCGCCTGGCTACACTGATGTGGTTCAGGACACAGTAGGCAGTGATTTCCTATAAGATGTTTTGTCTCTACAGAGGTGTGGAGTCCCTATATGATGGCCAATATTTATTAATGACATCCCAAGGTTTCTGAAGAGAAAGCTCTGCCGTAGACCATTAGAATCTAATCTATTCCAAAATGTCAGATGCAGTTAAGCAAGAGCTAACTCAATTGCACTGAGACTTTCCTCGTTAGTTCAAACTCTGATTAGAAGACTGATTAAAGGCATTCTCTTTGTAAAGGTTCACTCTTTATCTCTGCAGATATCATTACTATATAAGACAGAATAAAGCTAGCTAAAGGCTCACACGGATGCTGGAGCTGAAGAATATTTGTGTATGTGTGCACAGTTATTCAGGCCCATATAAATTCACATGCATGTTTTTTAAAATGCCCTTAATTAGTAACATGAAAAATGTTAATTTATAAATGTGGATAGTGTTGAATTTCATTGCACCTTTCAGCCTATTCATCTGGTGTTATTAGTATAAAAGGTCAAGTTTTCATATCATATGTAAAGCAGTAGGGTTAAGATTTTACCAGCAATTTGGGGGTTGCTGGGATACGAAGTATTTTGTTCAGAATACTTGGTATCTGAGATCAATATGACCAACCAAACTGCTTCCTGTGATTTAAACATTGCTCTTGCTGTTCAGTCTGAACTACACAATGGCAGTACTGCTGAAATATCCTAGGCTCTTCCTAATGTTTTACCTACAAATAGTATTAAGCTTTGGCAATGCCTTTAAATCTCTCTCTCAGTGTTCATGTTTGTATATAAGCTCTTAGAAGAAAGGATTGTTGATTCATTATGTGTTTGTGTGGTGCTTACCACAATATGGGTGATGTATATTTCTGTAACCTAGATAATAAGCTGGTATTATCAAGAAATAAAAACATCCAGAAGGCAAATGACAAAGCTTCCAAATGATTTTCCAAAATGAAGTTCCCAAAAAATGGGGCTTTCAGCTCTTAATCTTCAGAATTTTGTAGTTTACTGTCTTGTGCATGAATTATTTTGCAAACACCTTGCACAGGCTAATGAGAAATAAAGCAAAAAATAAAGAGCTTTAAGAAATTGTATGGAAGTCAGTGTTCTCATATAAGGGATTTGATTGTTGTTTCCATTCTGGTCAGATTAATAATAACCATGCTGCTGCTGGTTGATGACTTGAGTGTGCATGTTAGTATGTGAAAGAGATCACAATAGTAAGTGGTCATATTGGTCCAGTCATCACTGAATAGATAGTTTGTTTAATTATTGACAATCTTTAGCAGGGAGGCCATGTTCTGAAGTGTTAGTATCCTGCTTCTGAAGTTAGCTTGTGGACCTTGGGGGAACACTGATCCTTTATGTGCCAAAGTCAAACTTAATATTGTCCAATAATAGTAAAAAAAAAATAAAATCTACCTGTTCCTTTGCAAATACTGCATAGGGTGTACCTTGTTTTATAGCTGACAGGCTAGAAGTCTTGATTAGACTTTTTCACGAGTGCCCCTTGCAGAAGTAACTGAAGATGCTCTTTGGGCTCATGGATTTGATGAATTCTGCAAAAATTTTTGGGCTGATACTTTTTGATGTAGGGTTACAATGACTGGCAAAGATGGTAGCAGGGCTTCTTCTAGTGAGGTATTACAGTAACAGCATATCATAGGATTAAGAGAAAGCCAGATCTTTCTACTACGGAATTGCCTGCTGACTAACTTCTAATTGGCTTTGCCAGATTTATCACAGATTTGCTGCCTGTTCCCAGATTGCTTGCACAAATTATGCAGTTTTCCAAAGATTCTCTTTCTTCTGTATTTAAGTGATGGTGGTAATTTAATAAAACCTAAGTTTTCTGAATCCCAGCCCAGTATTTTTTATGCCCTGTTCTATGTGACTTTGAACAAACCAAGTAATTTCAGCAAACATATAAAAGGGGAAGAAAATTTCTCAATTCTCCACCCATACAATCCTATACACATGTACCACATATGCATATAGAGGCAAGCACACAGTTTGCAAATGCTATGTGCCATTTTCCTCTTCCAGAATTTTGAGATTGTGGTTACTCTTCTTGAATGAAACAGAATAAATAATAGCATGGATAGATAGCTGACCAAGGAAGGAAAGCCTCGGTAAGGGCTGTGACCACAGACTGGAGGGGAAATAGCTGTGTTGTAATTTCTTTCCCAATTAAAAATTGAAGTCCTCCTTCCAGCGCTGTTTTTCAGGAAACATTTACTCTGGGCAGCTGGAGTTTTTTCAGAACATCTACAGCTGTTGATGAATAGCTGGGTTTGAGAGTGTCTCTGAGCATAAGGTCTGGCAGTGCCAGCCTGGTAGTAGGTATGTCAGCTGGATCCTTCAGAGCTTTTGCTAGTGGTAGTCTCTGCAAAGCAGTATCTTTGCTTTTTCCTCCATGCTCTTCCAGACCTTCAGGGTGCACTTCCAATATGTCAGCCTATGCTTCATTGAAATCTTAAGACCAACCTACTGTAATATTATCTCCAAAAAGTAACTGCAGAGAGGCTCTAACAAAAAAGATGATGTTGACCTTTTCAAATCACTGTGAAACATCCTCAGCTCTACTCTGCTGCTTTACCTTAATGCAGGAATAAGAAATCACTGGTCTAGTTAAAATTACCCTTTTACCTGATCTCCAAGGTTGGTTGATTTCTAATGGACAATGGATAATACCTTCACAGTTTGGAAATACCAATACCTGAGCAAAGTGCTACAGTGTCAAGATAGAATCTCTCTAGTCTCCTACCCAAAGAATAAAGGATTTAGTCAGGACATTAAAACATTGTCTCAGCTCACTAGAGTTAGACTGCTAGGCAGCAGCAAATTAAGTTATGCTGGGAATGGTTAAACCACTTAATTCCAGGATTAAGTAACTACAAAGGTAGCATTAAGTCATATTTGTGCATGATCCTTCCTGTGACATGAGAAACTGGACACTACTCACCGTCAGGCCTGCTGTAGTACTTGTAGGCTATGTAATCTCTTATCAACCCATGTCAGTGCCCTCATGCTGCTGGATACCCAGTTCACGGAGTACAGATGAAGTGAAAATTTTTGGTTTTGTTATCTCCTGCAGAGACTGTTGGTACAGACTGAAGTAAAATCTTTGACTTTTAATATGGAGATAGAGTCATAAGAAAACAAAATTAACAACTACTAGGAAATGACTGGAAGGAAAACCATCCTGTGGTTGCCTTTTAAACTGTTTGGTCAGCTCTGACTTGTCTCTCAATGTAAAACAAACAGTATTTAAGCATTTGTAGGAGTATGAAAGCATATGATGCTGGATGTGGATCTGTGTTACTTGATGTGCATCTTAATTTATTAATATCCTGTGTCATCAGGAGTGACACATAACAATGACTTGCTTAGTTTCAGAGTTTACTGTCATAGACATCTGTGAATGAATCAGTGGGCGTATACATGTAGTGCAGATCAAGATGTAAGATGTTGGGAAAAAAAATCTTGCCTCAAGTTTGGGATGAACTCATTATATTACTACTGGTGGAGCCAAGAATGAGTTAAGCAAAGTCTTCCCAGACAAATGTCAGTAGCAGCCCTACAACATCTCATACCATCAGAGATTAATAGATAATTCTCCTGCCCTTAAAAAGCCTCATTGTGCTTTCTACCTTCTTTTTTTAACCAGAGTTGCTGCATTGCAGAAAAAAAATCATGTCATTGGTAAGGGTGTAGCTTATTAGTTTAATAGCAGTGAGTTATGCAGAATTTAAAATGCTATTATGTAATCACTTTGGTTATTATACCATGATTTGAGAAATATGGGAGCCAGTGCAATGATGAATATCATGTAGGATGGCTGACACTTTCCAGTACAAGGAAAAAAACCACCCAAACCCTTGGCTAGTTAGCATGAAAACTTCTTCCACTTGAGTAAAAGTATAGAAGCTTTTTTTCTTATCAGGATTTATAGAAATGAAGTCCACACATGAACTGGCTCCATTGATGCTGATGGCAGAATTCCAGTACACTTTATAAAGAACCAAAATGTGGCTCTACATGGACTTCAAAGAAAGCAACTCTCCATACATCAAGGTGTTTGAGAAATAAGTCAGCCTTTGTGAAGGCACAGAGACCAGGCTGGCACCCTTTAAAGCCTCAGCACCAGTGCAGGTTTAATCGTGACAAATTGATGATAGCTGGTATCATCCAAAGGAAAGAGGAGAAGATGGTACTAAAGAACAAGTTTGAATATCAGGTTGATTTTATTAAGAGCTTGCTAACAGGTACCATCAGTGAAAAGCTGTAGTCATTTTGAGGTTTCATGGAGTCACTGGGTAGTTAACACCTAGAGGAACAGGAGCCAGAAGCTTTGTGGCTTCTGATCTGCTCTCCTCTGTATGCCAAGGTGGCTCTTGTCAAGTCTTGGAGGGTGTGTAGCTCCAGCTGTAGTTTTCTTCTATGTCAGTAGCCCTGCAGGCCCATAGTAGCCCTGCAGGCCCATTTGCCTACCTTCCTTTTTCCATGAAGGCTCAGAGTACAGAAAAAGTGTTCCCATTTTCCTGCTGTCCTTTTCTGGAAGGGACACACCCAAGCAGTCCTCCATGATGTGCTTAGTATTTGAAGTCTTGCTAAAATGGGAGTAACTTCCATGCGATTTCCAGTTAAAATAATCCTGAAACATAGAAGGGATAAAGTAACATAGATATTGGAGGAAAAGAAAAACAAAACTTTAAATCATTTAGGAGTTTGTCAATTTGTGGCTTATTAACTACACAGGAAATTATTGTTTCCTTACATACTTTCTCCATTGTGGCTTTACCTGCTGGCATCAGCAGATCTATCAAATGAAACTCTTGTCTGTGCATAAGAATTTCTGTGCAGCACAACTCAGACGTGAGATGAGGTGTTCCACAACAGAACAGCTACAGCAGGAAGTACCCAAAAGTGAGTGTTCAGGCTGTGAATTAGTCATCAAGATCTTGCCCACTTTTAATCTGGCAGCACAATGCATTACCTCAGTGGGGACTTTCATCAGCTTCTTCTCAACTGCAAGAGGGTTTTATTGCTTAGGTCCAGACAAGTCTTGCCCTAGGGGAAGACATGGTTGCCCAGGGCTGCAGATGCATTGGGCAGTGACTGTAAACATGCAGCATACTTAGCCTAAAACCAGACCTAGATAAAGCCAGGCTGCTGCTGCCGCCACTGCCACCAGGATGGACTTTCATTTGACAGTGGTAGTTGTGTTTCTTTTCTCCTTTTATCCTAGTAACAACAGGAGCATCAAGACTATATCTGCAGAGCTTTCTTTTCCTTCTCTTCCTGAAGACACACCAGCCCTTCAACACTGGGAGCAATCTGTTTTGTCTTCAGTGCTGAGGAGCAGGTGGAAAAATTCTGTGCCCAGTGTTCTGGATTTACAGGTCCACAAAGGATGACTAATTTGAAGTGTTCTGGAGTTACTTTTTTTACCTGTGGTCCAGTGTGTTTGATTTGCTATAGAATACACAAATTGAAAAAAAAAAAAGTGCTTTTAAAATACATTAAAAGAAAAATAAATTAAAAAATGACTGGATCACTGACTGGAAGTGCCCTAAGTATGGGAAGAAGTGCAAGAGCAGTACATAACACAGTTGGAAGTGTTCTACATACATGCAGTATGTGTAGTATATTGCTAATAAATGTGACAAAGATGTATGTTACTAAGTATGCATGCTAGAACCATCTTCACACTTGTATTCAATAATGTTTGTATCACACTGGCTCCTCAATGCTGTAGGTCAAAGTCTGGGTACTGGTGTTGGTTTGTTGCATCTCATCCATGACCACTATTACATGTTCTAAAACATGTTCTTTTTTCATGATTGACAACTTAATGAATTTGATATGTAATATTATAGGGATTAAATGTCATAGGAATTAAAAGCATTTGTAGTGTGCTATTTCTCTCAGTTTAAAATGTTTCCCCTTTGCCTTTTCTCTTTGTGTAATTGCTCTCCCTTTAGAAAAGGGGGTGTAGCATGAACAGAAACATGACTCCAAGCTCAGGTGGGATAGGCAGTTGCTACACTAGAGAGATAGCTACTGTGTTATTGTAGCTATCATTTGAATCAGTCCATGGTTCTTTTATGCTGTGTCCTCTGTGAATACATAAATCTGGCCCATCCTAGCTTAAAGATTTTTTCTGTTCTTCACACAAGCCTTTAGCCATCAGCAGCAGAGAGATTAATTACATGATGAAGAGGGAGTTGCTGTAAAATGGTCTTAATATGGGGACTCTAAAAAACAGGGGGTTCCCTCAGAAACCCTAGCATGCTTTGTTGTAGGAAAGGCAGCAGCAGACAACATCTCTGACAGATTGTGCTGTCTTAGCTGTGAGAATCTATCCCAGCCTGAGATGCATCCCAATGCACTCGGAGGTTGGAGGGATGGCTGCCCTAGGGAGGGTATCTATGAAATAGAGGCTTTGAAACTGTTGTGCATTGGTATTGCCTTGAATGATGTGGCCCAAGAAGGGTTCTCTCTGGTAGATTAGTTGTTCCAGCCCACAGAGAAAACTGTGGTAACAAGCATACAACATTTCTCTAGGGAAACTCTCTGGTACCTTGAATGCAACGAAGGCAGGGAATTCCAAATTATTCTCGTAATTGTAGTGCTCACATACTTTCTTTGATTTAGAGTGTCATATTCTGGCTCCCAATGACCAAAAGTTACATTTTAGAAGAGTTGTTCTGATAGCAATGCTAAACAGGGTGAACAGTCATGGTTATTGTGAGAGGTAGAGCAGAGATTCACAATCTGCCTCAAGGCAGGATAAAAAATACACAAAGCTGATGCTTTCTTCCTAGTCCCTCTGGCTCTAGTAGAATTGCAGTGCTGAAGCTGGGGGGGAAGTTTGGGATAAATTTTGATCTGCATCCTACAGGCTTTTTCAGTTTTTCTGTGTACCTGGATCAAAATATGATTATTTCAGAAATAATTCTGAAGACAGAGTGAGTCAGGTCAGGGTTGCTGCAGTGTGCTTTCAGTGTAAACTCACAGGAAAAAGCTCTGTCTGTGGCTCTAAGGTATTCAGTTTTTATGGCAACATTGAAGTGCATCATATAAATAAGTCTCTTTTTTAGCCACTGTGAAACTGATGGGATGCCCTATTCAAAGAACATATTATTTTAAATCACTGTAACACGTATAGATTTAAAAAAATACACAAATTCTAGGACTAGGAGGCTTACTACAGGAGGCTTACATCTGACATCTAACAACATAGAGACAATGATTGTCCCTTTAAAATCTATTTTTTGTGTGTTTTGCCTTCCCAAACAATGATTTTGTTGAGATGACAGACATAAATCTCTCTCATTATATTATGCCATTGGTTACCACATTGTGACTTTCATTACAGAAAGATACTGTAAAATAATTTGTCATTCTATTATCTCAACACAAGCTAATATTCTGAAATTGAAAATATTTAATCTCTGAGAGTTACTATGGAGAATTTTCTAGCAGCAACTCACCTCTGGTTCCTAAGGCACTTTCAGTTTCTTCTGGTCTTCTTACCAACACCTCTCTATTGCTGCATCTTAGCAGGGAGAGATTAGGCATTGAACCCTGAGTGCTCAGACAGTTCTTTGTTCACAAATACACTAATTTGTAGTTCTGTGTCTTGCTAGCACACAACTCCAAATAGCAGAAAAGCCAGACTAGCACCCTGGGTTTTTGAAAAGTGTGATGCTGTTGTTTACTTTTCCCACTCCTGTATGTCCTGTGTACTTCTTGTTGTCTCTGTTCTGGTTGTTTTAACATCTTAGGATCTCTGAGCCACCACCATCACCCTCCGCATTGTGGTCAGGGGTTGTTTCTTCTTTGCTAGGATGTTAAACAGAAATTGGAATCCTCCTATCAGCTAGGGAGAGTACAAGCAAGCACAGAAATAGTCCAAAGACTGGAGTCAGGGAATGCCCTGCTATAAATCCCCCAATGCCCAATGTGATCAAATAACATCATCCTTCCCAAGCTGCTTTATTGCATTTTCTTTGCAACACTCTCCAGATTTCATTATTAGCTGAAAATTGAGAGAAACAGAGCTGGAAGAGACCAATTTTGGAGATTGTTTTGTAGAAGACGTATCCTCTTTGGGTGTAGGTCTTTAATGACTTTAAGAATTAATGACTTTAAGAATCACAGAGAAAGAATTACTTTCTCTCTGATTGTTAACTGTTTTCTTGAAGAAATGTAGCTTAGGAACATTTAAAATTTCCTAGGTAACTACAAAAGTTGAGTCCCAGTATCCCTCTTATGTTCCTGACCCTTGTGACGGACTTCCAGTTCTTTATGCCCCATACCAGCACTGGGATGGCAGAACCTGCTCAGACGTTTACTTCTTTGGTGCTCAGTTGTGCAATTCTTTGCCTTTTTCATACTTCATTCAAAGGATCATATTTCTCTTTCTTTAATTTTCTCACTAATCTGCTCAACTTGCTTTGAGACCTTTTAGAATGAACAAGAGGGGTGGGTGCTGCTGCTCAGTGTAATCATGCTCTGCTTTCAGAAGTGGGAAGTGAACAGTGAGCAGCACTTCTGCCTGGCCTTGAAACCAGGGAAGTCTGTCAACTGCGCTTCAGCATCGTCTTGTGGAAGTGCCCCCTGCTGCCATGTACAAAGACTTACAGCAGATTACAACACGGCAACTTTTAACTGTATTTCGTACAGTGTCTTTCATTCTACATGTGCTCAAAGTGCTTTACAATATACAAACAGCAATAGAAAATGTACAGAACAAATATGTCTTCAAACAGAGGAGCTGCTTTCTTCAGATGGCAAAACTGACACTTCTCCACAGCAGAATAGCAATAGAAATGAGCCTGTACTGGCAGAGGCATTCTGAATTCTCTCCAGTTTAAGATAATTCCGAGAATGATTGTTCTTCGTGACTTTACAATGAGTTGAACCAAACATAAGATAAGGAAATATATATTTAGGTGAAGTATCAATCTGAAATTACTCCCAAAACCTGTTGTTGATTCTCTGCTTTGTATTCCTTTAGCAATTTTTCTCCAGCACACTATGACATCATTTTTAAGCAGTGCTTAATTACATTCTGTTAATATGGAAAGGGGCTGTATTGGTAATTGCACTTTATGATTGTCAGTTGTATTTGTGAGTACTGTTAGTTAATGTCATAAAAGGAAGGTATATTTTACAACTAAAAATTCAGCAGTTTTGAGTGCTACATCTGATCTGTTTTAAATGCCATTAAAAGTAATGTGTGTAAATTCAGAACAATGTATTATTTAAATAAACTGTCTGGTCTTGTAGCTGTGAAAAACATGCATTTTGAGTATCAGAGTATGTCTCATTGAGACAGTGATTGTAATGAGAGGTTTTTTTGGGGAAAAAATAATGAGTTTACTCAAAGTAGGGCCCGATGCTCATCTGAGTGAAGGTGGACTTATGAGCAAAGGAGGAAAAAAATTGAACAAGGAAAACAGAGGTAGGATCTGAGGAAGAAAATGAAAAATATTGCCAATGCCAAGGAGAGGACAAGGGCATTGGGAGCTCTGGGGATGCTGGACATGGAGAAAAAGTAAAGAAGGTCTGAGGGATGAGTGGGCAACAGGGGGGTGTGAGGATGGACTTGTTGCAGAGCCTGGTGAAAGGTGGCTCTTGGCTGGC